GCCAGTATCCCAATAATGGAAAAATGTGACATCATTGATTAAAAGATAGGTTGTAGACCTGGTGAAATTATGAGTTCAGCTGAAGAAGTAATGTAAATGCTATGTCTTATAAATTCCATTCATCAAAGACCATATGCAACTAAGGGGGAAAGGCCCATCTTTGATGCAAAGGGAGTCAGTTCTATTCAATTCAATTCAAAAGCATGTACTTTAAAGCTTGGAGCTTCTTCCAGATTGTATACTATTGGTGGCAGAAAATTTACCTCCCTATGTCTCCAAATTGGTCCTTCCATTCTTCTAAATTAGGTGATCCATTCATTACTTAGATTAACACTGTTGGGCTAAAATCTACTTAAGAAGGTTACTATAAAACAAAAAATTCTGAAAATCCGTAGACCATATTTTCTTTCAGTCAGGCTTGAGTGACAGTACAGCTGAATGGCTAGAACAGTGTTGTCTCATTATTTCTCAACAATTAATCATAATCATAGGTAGACAGCATTAGCACTGAGGCAAGTTGTCTACAGAATGTGGAAATGGGGTTGGAAAAAGAGATAAGTGAAAGTCATTGGTGTGTGTAAGAGCCCAACAAATAGCTAATTTAGGAATGCTAAATAAAATCTGGAACAGTTAAAATTAGATAATGTAGATCTATAATCATCCAGGTGTGTGACTAATTCAGCAATGTTCTGTGGGAAGAAAAACAGAGTGATGAAAGTGGAAAAATGGAAACAGTTCATACCTGGCAGCTGAGATAGTGACAGTGATGAACACTTTTTTGCTTGAGTTAGAAGTTCAGCGAATGTTTTTTGAATTCAGTTGTGAATAGAAGGAATTTAGGTTATGAGTGAAGACAGAACATGGTATTTGACTATGAATTTGACTATTATTATATGAATATATATTAATATATTTCTATATTAAAGGTTGTCTTAAGATATCCCTACTTTTTTATTTTGAGCTTTAATTCTAATTTATTCTTAGGAGGTAAATCTGTGTAATAATCATCTCTGATCAATTTGACTCTCTTGCTTGTTTGTGTAGATGCCATGTATTCTGGAAAATGTATTGCTGTTAGCCTAAAGAATACATGCATGTCCAACTGTTCATTTTTAACTGCATATTTTTCTATTGCTTTTTGGAAATTAAAAGAGACTTTGAGTTTGGCATAGACATTAATTTAGTAGAAACCAGGGAAATATTGCTTACCTCTGTTTAAACTTAAAATATTCTTTCTTATAAGAGATGACAGGATTCCAATATTCACTGTCAAGAGCTTATAATGGAATTTGCCTTGGACTCCTCAATTTTATCTTCGGATATGTTTGGCAGTGTGTGGGACCAAGTCAGCACTCTTGCTTAGCACAAGACAAGTCTGCGATTTGCCAACTTTCATCCTGGGGGTGGGAATTTACCCATAGTTATTTCCCATATATGGTACTAATGATAATTAAGCTGAGCTTCACAGATGGAGTTCACTTAGCACATTTAGAGTGACTGAATTTAATTTGTATTTTTTATGAGTCAGATTTACTTCTGTTACTATAAAAAATTATGGAAGAATTCTATAGCAAATAGCTTAAGAAAGAGTCTGTATATTACTCTGGCTGTAATTACTACCTAGTAAAATTTATATGGATTTACCAAAAAGTATGTGGGGGGATGGTAAAGAAAGATTTTGGGAACTGATAAAGAAAAAAGTTTGTAGGACCTATAATATAAGAATATTTGGAGGATAATGTGTTGTGATGGCCTCTAGACTAATCAGAGCTAAGTTTAGATTTCAGCTCTGCAATTAGACAATTGTATTGCATTAAGGGAATTACTTCAAACTTTGAATCTTAGCCACTTCATCTAAAAAATGGTGACAATAATGCTTATTTACAATGATGTTGGAAGACTGAATAATGTAATGCACACTAAATTTTGTTCTATTTTATTTTGTTTGGTGGTGTTTGTGGCATTGTTAATCCCTATCACCTGAGTTTCCTGAGGGCTTTTTTGTTTTTTTTTTTTTTTTGGTCTAGAATATGATCAATTTAAAAACTTTGCTATATACAAAAAATATATTTTGCACTATGAATGGCTCTTTTACTGATGTATGATTTTGTAATATAATGCATTGGCTGTTGGGAAAACATTGGTCCATTGATTTATCCTGACTTTTCAAATGTTGACGTGTTTCTTTATGAAATATTAAAAAGCCACACTGTTGTTATCATCACTGCTCTCATTAGAGAAGAATTTAAATATTAGAAAGCTGTCAAGCTTACAGGGGTGGATACAAGTTTTCCAAAATTCTCATTTTCACTTGAAATCTTGAATTTTATCACTGGGAACAGATGCTGTACTCTTTTTTAAGTAACAATCTTATTTCACTTCATTCATTTATGGGAAAATATCTTCCAAACATCCAAATCATATCCTCATTCAAGTCAGTTATCACAGTTTGTCTGTCAACTGTTCTTTCAAGTAAGCACGGAGCACAGTGAAAAAAGTGGATAGTTTAGCTTGCAACTCAGATAATAGCAGGAACACTTTTAACTGACAAAAAAAAACTCTTTAAAATGTTGCAAAAAAGCATTATATTTCTCAAATTTTCACATGGAATATCACAAAGAAGTATTCTCCAGGGTCAAAGAGTTGAGATTTAATAAAATTAATAATTTTTACTGGCTTTTAAAAATTACATATGTGTTAGGAACACATGTGAGGAATTCAGTGCTAGTATAGTTTGGTTCTTTTACACATATTTTGTTCATTTCATCTAAATTTTCAAATTTATTGGCATGAAGTTGCTTATGATATAATCTTTCTTTCTTTTTATATCTGTGGCATCTGTGATAAAGTCTCCTTTTTCATTTCTGTTGTGATTTATTTCTGCCTTCTCTTAAAATATTTTTAATAGCTTTTGTTCTTGAACAGTTTTTTGCCAAGTTTACCAGACATGATTTTTGCAAGATTATTAGATTTCTAAATAACTACATTTTGGGTTTATTTATTATTCTACTTTCAAAGATTTTTTTCCCCTTTATTATAACTTTTTTCTACTTGTTTTAGGTATAACTTGCTCTTTTTTTCTCACTTTTTTTGTTTGTTTGTTTGTTTTTTGTCTGTTTGATTTTTAGGGATGGGGTCTTCCTGTGTTGCTCAGGCTGGAGTGCAGTGGTGCAATCATAGCTCACTGCAGCCTTGAACTGCTGGGCTTAAGCCATCCTCCCACTGCAGCCTCCCAGGTGCCTACCACTATGTCCAGCTAATTGCTTTGTATCTTCTGTAGGGTCTTGCTAAGTTGCTTAGGCTGATCCTGAACTCCCAGCCTCAAGTGATTCTCCTGCCTCAGCCTCCCAAAGCACTGAGATTATAGGAATGAGTCATCATGCCCAGCTCTTTTTTCACTTCTTGAGATGTGAAATCACTTCATGTATTATCAGCTTTTCTCTGTCAGGGCATATTATAGAATAAAGATGCTGCCCACATTAGATACATAAATATTACTACATATCTGCAAGTAATATAATAATATAAGTATTACATATCTTGGAACAATCTTATAAAATATGTTGGAATTTTTTTTTTTTTTTGATGGGCAGAGGCATTTATTCATCTTTTGGCAGCGTTTCTCTAGTAAAGCAGACATTAGAAGTTGTGCTGATGACAGCCTGTTTGAATGAGATCCAGAATTAAATATTCACTGTCATTCCTTGGGAGAAATAGCTCCAAAAGTTAAATGTGGGTAAGACAGAGATAATTTTTGTTGTTCTAGAATAGCTCCCTGTCTTTTTTAAATAAGCAAATTACTGTTTTTATTCTTTTTTTAAATTTCAAAATATTACAGGGGTACAAATGTTTTTGGTTACGTGTATCAATTTTGCGATGCTTGAGTCAGGGTTATAAGTGTGCCCGTCTCCACATTTCTGCCAAGTCTGCCATGTCTGCATGCACCCCATCCTCCTGTCCATGGAACTCCTCTTCTCCCAGAAGATAAGAACATTATTTAATTTGCATTTGATAATCAGGGCTGAGTGGAGAAAAGCAGCCAATTGCTTTGTACCTGAATTCTCATAATTGCTGAGTTTCACTGTGCTTACTATCATAATTTATTTAGAAGAGTAACTAAGGATTAGCATTTTAAGTAAGGTTCTAGGTCTCTGTGGATGAAATGGCTAAGTTCTGTAAAAATAGTGGAAGAGGAAATGGATTGGCTTTTAATTTTATTTTTGAATTTCAGTTCTTCTGGGGTTTCTTCTTTTTTGCATACTTTTAGATAAATAAACTTTACTATTAAGATTTAATATTCTGTGAACTTTAGGTAAATTAAAAAAATGAGACTCTTTTCAGCTCTACTAACTATGAGAAATTAAACAAATTATATAAGCTTTTTAAACTGCAATTTCCTTAATTTATAAATCGGAGATAATATTGTCTATTTCACTCAGTTAGTGTAAATGAGATAATGTGTATATAATGTTTACCAGCGTAGCCAGTACGTTTAAGGACTCCATAAATGTTACATGTTAATGTGATAATAATACCATCGTACAAGAATAAGGTATGGTGGCTACTTTCAAGATGTTTATAGATTATCAGTGGGAAAGAAAAGTAAAAAAAATTTTTATTGGTTCCAAAAAATACTGAAAAAATGATTGTGTGAGTATAAAGAAAAGGGTATTACCCATTGACTTAAAATATTTCCCTAAATTAGATAAACTTTATATATAACGAAAAGTGTTTCAATTGCTGAAGACAGTTATAATATATATATTATCAAGTTCTATACATTGAATATATTTCATATATGCTAATTTCTAGACTTAACAGAATGACATGTATAACTGTACTACTGAGGACTGAAAAAATTCTAATGCATTGAAAAGGAATATGTTATTTAAAAGCTGAATTATCTCAGAACAATGCATTTCTTGGCAATAAAGTAAAAGTTCCTATAAATAATTTTGTGCAGTGTATGATACCATAAAATATTATGTTTCCTTGTTCAGAAAACCTAATAAAGACAAAGAAGAAAGTCCATGCCAACAACCTGGTGGTTCTCACAATATAGCTGACCATGTTAAAAAAGCTCATGGTGGCCATACTTTATATGGACCAAGAAAATCCATGGAGAATTTGGTAGAGTTCCTAGCTATCTTAAAGAAATTGTAAGTATTTTTAATATATTACTTCTTTTAATTGAAAAATTCTTTTGAATAGCTTTATTTTTTAAAAGTTTGTTGTTTGCAGATAGGTGTACTTTAGTTGTGATATAGCACTAGTAGTTGATTCAGGAGAGCTGGAAATACTGGAGACTATGTTTCTACATAAACGTAATCTTCATGAATTCCGCTTCCATGGCATGTCATGAATATATTGCTAAACTTCTGGCCCATCATTTTAAATTGAAGTTGCAAGAAAAATATGTGTTATTTACTGATGATGCTAAATCAAAATTATGTTTAAGATTTCATTAGCTTATGTTTACTCGAAGGCTCTTCACAGAGTTTAAACAGTCTTCCCCATCACAGAGCCTTTCAGTAAACTTACTTCATATTTCCTTCAACTTCCTGGATCATTGTGTGCTACAATAGTGATGCAATTGTCTGGAGGATGAGGGAAGTGAAGGAGAGGAATAAATCTCACTGGAGGCTGGTTATCAGAGATGGTATTGGATTTGTGAATAAAATCAAAGTTAAACAGGACCATGAAAAAATGTGATATTGTGTTTGAGGTTGATAACAGAAACAAAACCAAGAGTAAAAGTATCAAGACTAGAATTGTCTTTGAAATAAATTTGAGGAGCATGGTATGAATAATTAAAAAGCTGACATTTGTGTTTTGAAGAATGCACTAGTAATTCTATGCTGTAACCACTTTTCTTCAAAATTGTCAAGTCATGCACCACAGAACGACATTTCTGTCAATGACAAACTGCATATACGAATGTGGTCCCATAAGATTATAATGCTGTATTTTTACTGTACCCTTTCTATGTTTAGATACACAAATACTTACCATTGTGTTACAGTTGCCTACATTATCATTCAGTACAGTAATATGTGGTATAAGTTTGTAGTCTAGGAGCAATAGGCTATACCATTTAGCCTAGGTATGTAATAGACTATACCATCTAGGTTTGTGTCACTACACTCCATGATGTTTACACAACAACAAAATTCCATAATGACACATTTCTCAGAATGTGTCTCCATTGTTAAGTGACACAAGACTATAATTGTGAATTTGAGGAAATGATCAGAATTTCCAGGAAACTTGAGAATGGTCAGGTATTTGATGCTTTTAATTTATAATGACAAAAAAATAAACACACTAGCAAATACGAGTCACTTTTTAGTAAAGCAGGTATGAAAGAATTACAGAGAAGGAAATCATAACTACCTGTCATACAAAGGTATAATTAATCTGGAAAGCTGTAAAAATAGAAAGTTAAACTAGAATGTGCTCAGTGAATTTGTTAAAAATATACTTTAACTGGTAGAAAATTACTAAAGCACTGAAAGGAGCTATAGGATTCTACAATCACTTTCATTCCATTAAATCATGATGTTGATTAATATTGCATTGGATTCAAAATTTTTAGTGCCCAGAAACCCCTGAATCACTCTCTGCTGATTTTGGATTGTGCTGGACTGAAGGACTTTTTAATGGCAGTGGTAATCCCTGTCTTTCTGACCATAATGGGGTAGCAGGTTTCCATATAACCGAGGTTCTGATCTGAGATGCAGGAGGAACTCGTCAATAGGGACTCCCGAACAGCTGTGGTTCCCCAGCAAAGTGTTGAAATACTGGGAAGTAAATCTAGTTTGATGTTGGGATGCAAAATACAAATGGGTAAGAGAGCAGCAAGTACCATTTTAGCAATGTACTGAAGTGAAAAGCAGGAGCTATGGTGCAAGGTTATCCAAGCACAGGGAAAAATAGACAAAGCTACTTTGCTGCATCCTTTTATGGACCTCTGTGGATTCTATTTAATGGCCAATCTCCAAATAGCCAGGACAATGGATGTTGGGTCAGTGTCAATTTCCAGAACCCACTTCTTCATTCACCTGTGAGAAAATGGGTGAGTAGAGATCCTGAAGTCCTGCAGGCTCCCACTTTCATTGGCTCAGGGATGGGCAGGTAGGACTCTTCACGTGGCAGATCTTCAGTGGCTGATAATGGGTGGGGCTGTGACAGCCTCTGCATTACAATAGCGGAGTAAATGAGCTGGGAACTCACTTTTACAGGATGTTTAATAGTCACACGAAGCCTTAAATCTGACACATAAAATTTCTGATTTAATCCTCACATCAACGCTTTGAGGTAGGCATGATAAGCTAGCTAGTAAGTAAAAGAGCAATGGACATGCTGAATCTACAATCTATGTTTATTTTTCTATAGGGCACGTTTTTCATTTTCTCTTCCCCTTGTGACACCAGTGTATTAGTTTCATATTGTGTGACAAATTAATGTAAAAATATACATTTATTATCCCTCTGGGCAAGGGTTAGCTGGTTTTCTTTCAGCTTCTCACAAGCCTTCATGAAGGTGTCCACCAGGTCATGTTCATTTCTGGAGCAAAAGATCCTTGTTCAAGCTTAAGTTGTTGGCAGAATTCAGTTGCTTCTTGCTGACTCTGAGCAGAGAGCTCCTCTCCGTCCTAGAGACCCCACAGATCCTTGCCATGTGGCTGTCTTCCAAGCCCTCGCACAACATGGAAGCTTAAATCTGCAAAGCTAGCAAGGGAGAGTCTCTGTTTCTCTCTTTTTTTATTCTGCTAAGATGAAGTGTTATATAACCTAATTGAGGGCCTGTATATCCCGTCACCTTTGCCAAATTCCACTGGTTAGAAGCAAATCACAGATTCTGCTGCCACCCCCAACACTCAAGGAGAGGGGAAGAGGGTTGCCTTAAAGTGTGTTAGCCATATTTAGTAACATTATCAATCTCTTTGTGACTGTATTAATCACATTTGCAATGGGGTTGCATGCTTTATGTACACAACACAGCAGTAATTCAATTAAAAATTAAAATCTATTTATTGATGAATAAATAATCAGGTCTTATCAGCCCTTTGTTTCTCTCTAACTGAATCATGATCAGATTGATGGCCTGCTTCAGTGATGTGATTTAACAAAAATTTAAAAGTAGCTACTTTCCCCCCTCTAAAACTCTTCACTTTGTCATCCTGCCTGAAATTTTAACAAACAGAAATTAATTTTGAGCCACAGTAGCCTCTTTTTAAAGAAATGCAAGATTAAGAAACTATTAATTATTGCAACTAGGTGTGACGTAGCTTAATCACACTACTTCTTAACTTCCACTTCAAGCCAGCAGCTCTGAGTAGATACTGCTGCATGGAAAAAGGATAAGCGATTTTTGAAATAGACAAGTAATTGGAAAGGACATTAAAATCATTGTGGCAATGGTGCCAAAGAGGAGGGATTTGAGAAACTAGAGGGCGCCATGAAGTTGGGAAGTGTGTGTGTAGGACAGTGGGAAGGAAAGAGGAGAGAATGTGAGAAGCCGACAGTTGGGAGCCTTCTTATTAAATATCAGAATGAATACAAGCTTATCATGTGTGTTAGTTAGGATTTTGGCTCATAAGCAATAGAAATTGACTTTGGTTAGTTAAAACAACCACAACCAACAACAAAAAAAAGAAGTGGAAATGGATGGAAGAATATTAGGTAGCTCCCCAAATGGAAGAACAACAGCTCGATGCTGGAGGTGCTATGAATTCTAAGGCAGCTCTGGAAGTCTCTTTAAGGTACAACATTGGAATCAATCAGCTATAACTAATTTTGATTGGGAGTGATTTGACTCACAGTTTAATTTCAGGGATAGGGAATCAGACTGTTGAAGTTTATTTTTGTACCCACCCCTTGGATAAATGCTGAGAGGTGCAGTACACTTTGATGAACAATTTTATTCAGTTCACATGCAATTGGCAAAGGGGTAACATTTCAGAAAAGAAAGTATTTCGGAAGGAGGGAACAGTGATCATGGATAAACTGTTAAAAACTACAAACTAGGCTGGCTGTGGTGGCTCATGCCTCTAATCCTAGCACTTTGGGAGGCTGAGGTCAGAGGATAACTTGAAGTCAGGAGTTCAAGACCATCCTGAGTTAGACTTCATCTCTACAAAAAATAGAAAAATTACCTGGGCGTGGTGGTGAGCACCTGTAGTCCCAGCTACTCAGGAGGCTGAGATAGGAGGATTGCTTGTGCCTAGGAGTTCGAGGTTGCAGTGAGCTATGATGATGCTACCGCACTCTAGTCTGGGTGACAGAGTGAGACCCTGTCTCAAAAAAACAAAACAAAACTATGAACTAAAACATGATTTGGAATTTTAATTTCTAAATAATTTTGACTAATTTTATTTTTCACACTTTAATTAATGAATCCAACACATGCTTTCGAACTTCTCTATGTTTCTAGAAATATTCTCGGTATTGGGACTATAGGAACACATAATATCTTTGCCCTCATGGAGTTTACATTCTAATATAAGAGAGAGATATTAAACACATACATATTATGCCAGTTAGTGATAAGTGCAAGGAAGAAAAACTATTCTACATAATGTAGAATAAGGGGATAGAGCATGATGGAAATGATCATAGAAGTTAGATAATTTCAGGAAATGAGAGAGGCAGCCAATTGCATATCTTGGAAAAGGACATTCTAGGCAGAGGAAACAAAAGTATAAGAGCCTCCGGATTGCAAACGTGGTTTGCAAATAGAAGAAGAAGAAAAAAAAAACCCAAGAAACACAATTGGCAAGGAAGCCCTGTTGTGAAAGTACATGAATCATGGAAATTGTTTATGGAAATGAGGCTTCAGAGGTAGCCGGGACCAGATTATCACTCGGGGTCTTGCAGGCCATGGAAGGATTTTAATGTTGGTGTGATTGGAACGTCATGATTTTCATGGCAAAGGGTCGTGTGTGGATGGTTGACTGTTGGTGCCAGCAGGAGAATTGGTGTGCCGTGAAATGAGTCGAGGTGAGAGATGACAGTGGCCCATGTTCTGTGTTAGGGAGTTAGATTTGACTTGTAAAACTTGATTTCTTGATTTTATTTCTTTTTTTAAAGACAGGAACAGGGTCAAATTGATAGTCCTTGAAGGAAATCAGATTCTTTGCTCAATTTGACCACTAACA